GACATCGAAGCCCTTTGTCGACCTCCCCGGTAAACCTCATCCCACGAGGCATAACAGAGAGGTCTACAAAGGGCTTTGATGTTTACGGGGAAGCCTGTAGACTATCACGCTGTGCTGACAAAGAGCTGATCATTAGCTGGTTGGCAGAGCGCGGCAGCCATTTAAATTTAAATGAAGCCGTGATTATTTAAATCATGGCTTCATTTCCCTATGCTGATCACCCTCATCTACATGGCTCCATCGACGGAGCCATGTAGTATAGATATACCCTCTGAGAAAACTTTTCTTGGAGAGAGACGCTCCTCCCATCTCCCTGTTACTTGGAAGAAACCACTCAGACTCTGGCAAAGGATGGAAAAAATAAACATTCCTGTGACTCAGTTTGAAATCCCTACCTGCATTACTATTGGCTGAGCAGATACCTGGCTAGGGACCGGAGACATAGTTAACCCCTTAGTCTCCAGTTTGCTGGCCAATTCTCCTGGTTATGACACCCCTCAGCCATGCTGGCTATGGGTACTGTGGAGTCCTTGTGGCCAGCTCCATCAGCACCCCAGCAAGCAGGTGCTGGTGCACCCCCATTTCCTTATGTTGTGCTTAAAAGAAGCACCCGGGATCTTTTTCAGGGGAATAAGGCAACACACCACATTTATTGAATAGATCAATCAATACTTTATCATATGCATATGATACATTACACTCATGCACTCACACACACACACACAAGTACACTCCATCTTGTTGTTACCAACAGGGGTGGCCCGTGAGCCTAGGCGAGCTAGATGGGGGAGGGGTAGAGCCAGGCTTCTGCCGATCCAGATCAATGCTCCCATGCTGACAAGATGAAAACCTGGGGTCCCTTTGCAAGATGCCTTCTATTTATCCCTCTCATGCAGCCAATTAGTCATCACCTCGCCTTTCTTAATGCTGCTTCAAAGAGAGTTCTTCCAAACTCCCAAAGCGTCTGTCTGTCCAGTCCTCTTAATGAGCTCACTTTGCAGGGATTGTCTTGGGTCTGGCTCCCAGACTCTCTCCACCCTTGCAACTGCTGCTGGAGGG